TGGGTCTGGTTAGGGTTAGGGCTTCCTCTGCTGCCCCCTGGTGGACGGGCTCCCCCTTTGGGTCTGGTTCCTTGCAAGGTTTCTTCCTTCTAGGGAGTTTTTTCTTGCCACTGTCACCTCTGGCTTGCTGACTGGGGGCTTGGAACGGGGATAATGTAAGGTGCTTTAACACAATGCAACGTTGTGAAAGTGATATACAAATAAGATTGAATTGAGTATTAGGTCGAATGGCAGATATCTGGACATTTCAGCTTTACAAGAAGCCTGGCAATCAGCACTTTGGCAAGTGTTAAACACTGTGGGGGATCTATTATGGTTTTGGACAGCAGCCCTCAGGAGTCGTTAGATCCTGATGATTGCTCTGCATGTATAATAAGGAAAGAATTTGAGACATTCTGCAAGACCAGATGCACCCTGTGGGGCAAACCCTGCCCCTTCACAATGTCCCCATAAACACTGATGAATAAATGTGTGTAGTTTCATGGCTGCCAAGATGAAGTTTCAAAGTTCCATGACCTCACCAACCACCAGATCTAAACATCATTGAATCTTTAAGGGATATTCAGAAGCTTCGAGAACATTTACATGCCCTTCATTCCTCAAAGAACTGTTGGCTTTTATTCTTCTGGAATGGTCCAATAATCCCACTGCACATAGTTCAGGATTTAAAAGGCAAGTCCAAGAAGGACTGAAGGTCTTCTGAAGGCAAAGGGTGGGCCCATCTAATGGATTATTTTCCATCTACATTTTGACAAATGCCATCCCAAATTTTTTTTAACGATTTTGCATATTTTATCTGCTACTCCTGACACATTAGAAGGAGCTACATCTACACGCTAGGAGAAGGATTGATGAATGTTTGGTGCGTTATTGCAACTCGCCGATTGATGTTTCATGCTTTGGTCTCACTGTTCACAGGGCTGAACCTGGTAGCCTTTCTTGTCATTGTCTTGTCCTATGGAAACATGTTCTACAACATACAAAGAACAGGAACACGGGCCACAGTGACCAGTAACCACATGAAGAAGGAGGTGACCATTGCCAAGAGGTTCTTCTCAATCGTCATCACTGACTCTCTCTGCTGGCTCCCCATTTTTGTGCTTAAGATTCTGTCTCTGATGCAGGTAGAAATACCAGGCAAGTGATTTACATTGCAAACGCTTTTGTGCAAAGTGACGTACAAGTGAGGCAAATAGCACATTGCAAGCAGATGTGCCATGGAGGAGTTTGACTAGACATAACTTCTGCTAGGCCGAGCTTCCAGTCAATGCCCAAGTGTGAGCTGTATTGGAGCAGGAGCTACACAATATCTATCAAACAAAGCAAAAACCTAATAATACAACTGCGCAATCAGGAGAAAGTGCAGCATTAACAGCGTTCAGTGACCGTGGACAGGTATCAGACTGGCAGAGACGGGTATCAGACTGGGAGGGACGGGTATCAGACTGGCAGAGACGGGTATCAGACTGGCAGAGACGGGCATCAGACTGGGACAGACAGGCATCAGACTGGCAGAGACGGGTATCAGACTGGGAGGGACGGGTATCAGACTGGCAGAGACGGGTATCAGACTGGCAGAGACGGGCATCAGACTGGCAGAGACGGGCATCAAACTGGGACAGACAGGCATCAGACTGGCAGAGACGGGTATCAGACTGGCAGGCAGGTATGAGACTGGGAGAGACCGGCATCAGAATAACAGAGACGGGCATCAGACTGGGAGAGACAGGTATCAGACTGGCAGAGACGGGTATCAGACTGGCAGAGATGGGTATCAGACTGGCAGAGACGGGTATCAGACTGGCAGAGACGGGTATCAGACTGGCAGAGACGGGTATCAGACTGGCAGAGACGGGTATCAGACTGGCAGAGCTGTTCCTGTTGCAGATGGGTCTTTTATTAATGATTTAATAATCATTCCTTGTGCATGTTTGTGCTTGACTCTTATTCTGATCCTGATCATGATTCGACTTAAAAGACTAATATGTACTGGTTAGGTTTTTCATTCTGAGTAACTTCTGAACTGATATCAAAGATGCTTAATTGTCCACAGGTTCGATCAGTTCCTGGGTGGTGATATTCATCTTGCCGATCAACAGCGCCCTCAACCCCATACTCTACACGCTGACGACGCGTCCGTTCAAGGAGACCATCCTTCAGGTGTGGGGTAGCTACAGACAGCGGGGGCCTCTGTCCCGCAAGCGTCCTCAGCACACACCGCCGTCCACCTGGATGGGGATGTGTCCCCTGCAGGCAGGTGTCCACATCCCCTCATCTCCTCTCGAGGATCTGGCCAACCCCACCGACACCTTTGAAGCACCTCGACATCTTCCAGAAAAGAGCAGGAGCAGAGCATGTGTCTATCTGCTCAAGTGGCATGACAGTGTAGCTGACATGTGACAGAAATGACTCTCATCAAGCGACCATTCCTAAAGACGATGTAGATATAAATCAGGTAGATTGTTTCAGCTATTCAGTCCCAAAGGTTACTTCCAGGGGGTGGGACTTGCCGTTTTCTTTCGGTGGCGTGTAGAGATGGAAATGCTAAAAATATCTGCGAAGAATCCACTCATGCTGTTCATGAAGTCATATAGTCCCACTCTGACCACCTGGACGCTTCGTGTTTTTAAATGTTATTGGTGCGTTTTTTTTGTGAGACATTCATCTCTCTCCCAAGATTTCCCCATAATAGAATAGTTTCTCCTGATATGTTTTTTCCGTCCTCGTGATGATCGTTATACCTCAAACCAAGTGTCTGCTGTGATGACCTTAGGGTAGTGTTTTCGAGCCCAGTCCCCGGGGACCCACAGACAGTCTGCATTTTTGCTCCCTACCAGAAGCTGGGAGGGAGCAAAAACATGGACTGTCTGTGGGACCCCGAGGACCGGATTGGGAATATTGATCTTTTCGATTTTTCTTTTTTAAGAAAACGTTCACCCTTTACTTGGGAAAATACTGAATTTACAGTTTTTTGGCTCAAAAAATTATAAAAAGTTATGTTTTGTGACAAAGGAATGTACAATTGTATTTGTTGTTACAACTGGAAAAGATTTAAATGTTAAGTGTAAAGAGAATAATTGCAAATGATATCAAGCCTATGGAAATGAGGTAAGAAGCATATTAAAAAAACAACGTAATTAAATCAAATGATTGCCTCTTCACATACTGTCAGATCCCTGGGATTAACTGTTCGAAGGTACAGCGCTCAGGCTGTATGAAACACCAGCTGAAGTCTGTATGTGTTTAATTATGTGAATATTGTAAGTTGTAGCGCATGAAAGATGGTGAAGGAGAGATTGACAGTAAACAACAGTGCCCCCCTGTGGTACTTTATCTTCCTGCAAGTAGGACAAAGTTCACGGGTGATACAAGGACAACACAGGGTCCTACTGGGCCCTTGTTTGTAAAATATTATACGCCTGCATTAAGGATTGTTTGCTATAGATGAGATTTATTTGTCACATATTTCAGTTATGAATGAATCTCGATATCCGTCGGTGGCATTTAGATTCATAGCTGCAAATGTGCAGCTTTTTGTTTTGTTTTTTTTTAACCTGCCAGATTTCCAGCTTGCGGCTCAGTTTGCATTTTTGGCTTCCGTGTGATTATGTCATTTTGCATTAACTTTATTCCTCATGGAGTCTTACTGTAGGCAACAGCAGATGGAAAGTGTGCATTGAAAATGCACCAGACCTGGTGTGGCAGGTGGATCTGGGAGGTAGGTGGTGGAAACATCATCCATCATCTGTGACCCTGACGTTGGAGCTCCACAACCATTACAGGAAGGGGAGATTCCAGGTACACCCAGAACCTCGGTACTAGGCCAATCTAAGGATGCCATCTCCTGAGCTGTAAAACCCATTTTTGGTACATGCCCCCCCCCCTTCCTGGAGCACTGCTGATTGGCTGTTGGCTGAGGCTTCAGGAGAACCAATGAAGTGAAAGGGCCCCAGGTGGTTCTGGAGCCTCAGTCAGGCCGGCAGGTAACATACGGTCTGGGACATTCCCAAGGATCCTGACAGAATTCCACACATCGTGCACAATCTGAGCCTTCAGTGCCTCTTTGAATCGAGGCTGTTTGTCTGTTAATTAAGCATAAACAATGATTATAGCATTCAGATAGAATCAGGCTGACAGCTACTAGCTTGCGGCGACGTTTGAACTTAAGAAAATCTTTCGTTGAAGTCCTGTATATAATAGGATTCTGAGGTAATACTTCATTCCAGCCCCCCTTTGAAGCTTCTACCACGTGCTTCTGACTTTGTGTATAACTGTATTTGTGTTTCCCTATAATAGCAACATAAAGAGGCATCTATATGTTAGAATGAATCCCAAAAACCGTATCTTCATAATGGTTGCATGCAAACATTTGTGACCCTAGGAATCCCTATCAGCTAGAACATTATTTGTAATACGGGAGTGTATGTGCTATGCCTGAAACTTCCAGGGGTGGGCGCTCTCATCCCAAGCCCATTCACCCCATGTGTCACATGGACTTTCTCGTGCTCCTCTGGATTCCCACTGCAGTCCAATTATGCGCAGCTAGGCTAACTGGGATCAGTGAAACGCCCTTCGTTATACGGTTGATGGATGTTCACCATCACAATGTCTGACAAGGTATTCAACAGCTTGAGACTGGGTGTCAGACATAGCTGTGCGTTTCTATGACGGTAACAGTGTAGCTGTGCATTTCCATGATGTTAGTAGCGTAGCTGTGCGTTTCCATGACGGTTACAGTGTAGCTGTGCGTTTCCATGACGTTAGCAGCGTAGCTGTGCGTTTTCATGACGGTAACAGCGTATCCGTGCATTTCCATGACGTTAGCAGCGTAGCTGTGCGTTTCCATGACGGTAACAGTGTAGCTGTGCGTTTCCATGACGGTAACAGCGTATCCGTGCATTTCCATGACGGTAACAGCGTATCCGTGCGTTTCCATGACGTTAGCAGCGTGTTCCTTTGTGGTGTTTGATAAATTCAGGCAAACCGGTGCTACTTGGCAGAGAGATATGGGGCTTCTCCCATCATTTATTGACATACTCTGTCAGAGAATAGAGTACCAATCTGTGCCTTGGTTTGTAACTGGGGTTGTACCCTCAAGGGTCTGCCTACTGTACACTAGCTGTAAGTAAATGGACTATGACGAACGTTTTTGTACATTGGGGTACATTAATGCTGTTCATACCCTGTGGATGTTCCTTAGAGCCCCTTTCTGTACCTTAAATTAGCTTTGGAGGAACAGCCCCAGTGACAAGCAAAGGTACAAATTGGTACATTTTTTGTGTCTTTTGTTCAGTGTAGGCAAGGGCTCAGGAACAGGGGGAGGCAGCTGTACCCAGCCCCCCCCCCCAATACTTAACTTGGATCCATCAATCACCTCAAATAAATTGACCTTTATATGTAAATTATGAAATTGTGTTCCCCGATATGAAACTCTCTCCTACGCCGTTTGTCGTATGAAACAATTTAAAAAACGTCTTTCATTTGCATATTTGAAAATCGGTACCTGAGCAGATGCACATTACCCCTGTTATTACTTTGGTTCCTCTGTAACCGGATATTGCAGCACTAAAATTAACACGCGGGAGACACGGCAAAGAGCAGGGGAAGCGTTGACGAAACGCTACGATGCTTTCTGCTGACAGCAGGTGGCGCTGTTTGGCTTAGGGGCTCTCTCTGATATTTGGCCAAGTCTTAAAACTATACCAAGTATTTTAAAATAAAGTGAATAAATAAATACTGTATTTGTGCTGCATCGTGCACTTTTCGCCAGCAAATTAATCTAGCCAAAATATCATCCCTTCTGATCCGTATTGTCTTTTTCAATTAATATAAGAAAAAAAAAACTTTAAACTTTAATAAGGCAGCCCTTTTAACAGGGGCCATTTTCCCTATTAGAGTCATTATAAGCTCGTCTGGCACACGATCTTGCCGGCTGCTTGTCCGAAGTATGGATGTGGGGAGGTGGCAGCCTGCAGTCGCAGGGGATTCACGGATGTCCGTAATAGCGCCTTAGTCGTAAATACTACTCAATCTAATTCCTTTCTTAAAAAAGGAACAAAAGCCTGATTTAAAAAATAGCTTGCTGTGACGTTTAGTATCTGTTAGCCATTGTGTCTTTTTAGGCTTACCGACATACTTTCTCTTTCATCTAAAAAGTATCTCTGCACAGCAATAGTCCGAGAAATTGGTAGCTAAACACATACGCTTCATTCTCTGTTAAACTTTAGACAGTCACTAGAATAACGTTAACGTGCCCCATGCTTTACAATAGGCTTTGCAAAAAAATCGTTTAATAAGCTTGCAATGGAACATACACCAGTCTATGCATAATATATTGCACGTTCTCTTGTTTTTCGCTGTATTTAGGCTTATTATAGTATTATATAAGACAATGTATAGCCTCTCCATTCATTTCTATAGGAAAACCTTAATCCCAACAATGACAAGCTTTACCCCTACCCAGCCCTAACCTTAACCATAAGTAACCAAAGAAAATACAGGAGTTTGAGCATTTTTAGTTTTTCACAGATTCACAGGTCTTTGTGGGGACCTGAAAAATGGTCCCCACAATGTCAAAAAACAGGTTTTTGGTACATTGTGGGGGCAGCCCTAGAGGTGTAGGGACCCCCCCCTCCCCACGGTTGACGTCACATCTAGCCCATGTCAGGGTGCGCTCAGAGACAGGGGTCATACACCGTTACACCGGGCGGGTGAGCCAGTTTCACTCTGCAGTCCTCAATTTCATCAGCAAAAGCGCCCCTTCCTATTAACTGAATAATAAGTCGGTGAAATGCAGCCCTAACATGACCACTGGTAATTGGTACTCGGTGTGTGTGTGTGTGTGTGTGGATCCAGCCACCCAAGCGTTACCTCCCATCTGGCTATTCTGTCCCATCGGAGCACGCCTCCCCTCCCCCCTGACGCGAAAAGGAAGGCTGTGACACGCCTTCATTCATTATTGCATGAAAATGATTGAGAAGATTAATAGCAATATAATATAATAAAGACACAACTGTCTGTGCAGATGAATGTCTGAAGATATAAAACTGAATTATGGATTTACTAGCACGAATGCATTGTTGTTTATTTTCAGTATATGTACGTTCTTAATAATAGTACCGTACCTATCAGTGGTATGATACAAATGTTTAGATATAGCCAATCAAGCACTGGTTTTAGTGACCATATGTGAAAGATTTGTTTTGCATCCACACAGACGTCAAAAGCCGAATGTTTGTTGATTCTCTCTGTCTGTAAGCAATGGCTTATTTCCTCTATGGCTTCCCGTCATTGTGCTATTCTTTTCAGTCTCTTCCCTTTCCATTGTATGCTGATTAGGGTGTCCATTGGCGGCAGTGTGCGTAATCAGACTCGTTTGACGCCTGAGGACAATCGCTAGGCACAACGCACGGAATGGTCATTCGTTTTTAGGCGCATCAATAATGCATGCCGTGCGTGTTTTTTTCTGCAAAAATTCATTTTTGAGCATCATGCGCAAAAAAGAAAAGAAAAAAAACTAAAACAAAGAAACATTGAATAAATGCATAAATGTTGAATTTAGGCTGTATTCCAGGTGAAACACATGCACATTTTAATTGAATACCAAATTAGTACATTTTCTCAGTTAATTTTGTCCGTTTTATATTTCAAATAATATTAATAATAAATATTACTGTTGCTTTATTAGATTGTCCGTTGTTACAAAATTTACAGCATATTATTTATTAAGAAGCTATGTAACTCAGCTTTTCACAAAACAAACGGCAGATACGCTTCCTTTAATTAAACGGTCCTGTTGCTTCGCTTACATTACCATGACTTATTTAAATAAGAATATTTGTATACGTATATGTATATGTAACACAAAACAAATGACAATACACCCATCTCGGCTCCGCGCCCCAAAGCGGTGGCGAAGAGCGAGCGTCCATCGCCTGTCGCTAGGGGGCGACGGAGCAGCGTTTCACCGTCGCCATGGCGCCGCAGCCCTGTAATCCCTTTTGATCCTGTCATTCCCCCTCCACCCCCCAATGGAGAAATATTAAACACAATGCCTCCGTGTACAGTTACATGAAAGCCAGCTGAACCTAAATCAGCGGAATGAGCAGCTGTGCGTTAACGGGATTTTAGCCAGTATTCTGTTTATTTTTTTTTATACATGTATTGGCCTGAAGGATTCTTGAGTTTGTGCTAAAGGCAGAGCAGGCTGGCTAGCTAACTGGATCAGCCGGCCCCGGACAAATGGTGAAGCCACTTTAAAAAGTCGCCCCACCGAACCGTTAGCAGCTCCCTGTCTGCGGCAGAATAAAGGTCGGCGTTCAGAGAGAGCAAAGGCCGGAGTGGGCGGGGAGAGCTCGGCGCACCTCACGGTGAAAGTGCGCCGGGGGGCCGGCGTCGAGGAGGAACCAGAGCCCGAGGCTCAGCTGCGGCCTGGGAACGCCGCCTCCGTTTTGGGAAGGACCGGCGGCAGGACGGTCGGAAAAGTGCTGCGGGTTTAGCTCCATCATTCCCCCGATGTTTGCCTGAGGAGACAGCGGTCTTTGGTGTTTTTTTTTGCGCTGGTTTGGCTGAAACGGGAGAAAATGGCCTCCTACGTGGACCAGCGCTTTCGGCAGGCGGTGATGATGAATCCTGCGGAGAGGACGCAACAGGTCAGCGCGCAACTTCCCGCAGAAATATCAAAAAATATAAGAAGATCCGAACAAAAGTGGCGCAGCCGGGACTGTCGCCGCGTTTTTAACGTCCCGAAAAGTTTATTTTATTTTATGTGCAACCGGCTTTGCTTTGCAGCTTTAGCGCGAGACACATGGGCTATATTTTAAGTTTTATATTGTTCGAGGGTAGTTAGTTATACTTACAGCCAAGTTAAACATTAACTAAGTTACATAATAGCCGGCTCCTTGTAACTTAATATGACAGCCGTGCATTTCTGTATAGTGTACCGTATATTTAATTATAATGGAAGCAACTTAAGTTACGCGTGGAAATGTGGGTAATAGTTAACTAGTAAAGGTTCAATGCGGACTACTTGATTAGTGAGGTTAATTTCGGGAACCCCGAAGCGGTACAATATGAACCCGACTGGCGATCTGTCACTTTTCCCACACATAATGTACATCGTTGTGATTCGGTTCTCCTGTGAAATATAGATCAGAGTAGAGATTATTAGGATTTATTATCCACTTTGTAGCCATGGAATGAGTAATTTCAGGTGAATTATCCCTGATAATTCTGGGATCTTGTTTGTGTGTGTGTGTGTGTGTGTGTGTATGTATGTATGTATATATATATATATATATATATATATATATATATATATATATATATATATATATATATATATATATATTAGTTGAGTTAAGGTCCTGCATATGTTATGATGGAAACTTGTACTGGAAATACTGAAATCCACAGAGCAAACAGTATAATTTTCAGAACAGAGAGGCTATTCACATAGCTCAGTAAATGACTAAGGTGTCCCTGTGGTTTTCACGGTCCTCTTTTCTCCAAATATATCCACAAGCCCTTCTTGGACGCTTCTCCATAAACATCGCTGTGCTGTTTGTCTTTTATCGATGACAGACCTTCACCTGGTTCTAATGACATCAGTCTGCTTCTGATGATTTGTGCATCCAGTCATCTTGCAGAGCCATGTTAGTGTTTGATCAGTGAGAGGGGATTCTGCACTGATTATGTCCAGATTACATGTAGACAAATGGATATTGGAACCTGTTTCTCTCTGGGAGAGAGTTAAATGGTTAGTTTGAGGACATAGAAATATATTTAAAGTAACATGTATGATTGCTAGTTGTTAAAGGCGTTTTGTCATTCCAGATTGCATAGTGTTATTAAAATTGTCATAAAAACAGTGTATCTGTTTGCTTTGTGACAGCTTCTGCCGTCATTCTTTGTCATCATGGTAGCTCTTTAGCTTTGGTCCTGTTTGTGGATGCTAAGCCCATGTTGCTGAATGGGAAGTAGGCAGGACATGTAGGCTTGTGTGGAAATGGGTAATTCATTCCTTTGGCCTTCAGGATTTTGGCTCTCAGACTGGGAATTTGGGTGACTGGGTGACAGGGGTCTCTTCTGCTGTAGTGAGTGAGAGTGAGACCATCACACTGGGTGGTAATTCAGGTCTGCTGTGCCTTCACATGTGTCCCATGGATTGGTCTCCTGTCATGTGCTTACAAAACAAAATGTCTCTCAGCATATCCTTGGTGCCCTTCTGTAACTTGTGGCAAATAGCTTCCTGTACCAGGGGGTTGGTTTGAACCTGTTAAGGAACACGCTCTGGGTCCCTTATTCCTTTTCAATCTTAATTGTTTCAGTAATGATATGTGTTATCAATATTTTCATAAGTAGTACATTCGTCCTGAATTTGCAATGAGTTTTTGTATGAGAATAAAGTGGTGTAATTCCCATTGGTATGGCAGTAAAGCGTAATTAAACTGATAAAACAAATTCAGATGTATACAGATAAATATCTCTCAATTTATGGAAAAACGGCAAAAGGAAAATGTGCAAGTTTAGAACATAACATCCGGTTCTTAGTTCAAAAAAATTCTTAACGGCTCAGACCGCCCATTAAATTTAAAAGTTAGTTGCAGGAGGGGCTTGTGGTGAAGTGGCAGGGGACAGAGCCTGACTGTGGGCCGGGGCCAGGTGATGGGGGACAGGCCTAGCCCTGTTCTTTCCATTGGTGCCCGTTACCAAGCGTGCAGAGCATAACGAAACAGAATGTAGAAATTCCCACTGCAGACCTCCTGCACCACCTCCCGCCACGAAGGTGCTGCTGTGACCGCAAGCACGTGCTCAGTATCAGCGGTGATGCCACAGAATATAAACAGTGGATTCACTCGTTTTCCAGGCAGGGTTAGGATACCATTTGCTATAATGTGGTTTGTAACGTCTGCTGTCGGTGCTGTTGCTTGCCGAAGCTTTTTAGTGTGTAGATGCAGTCATCTTGTGGTGCAGTAATACTTTATTATGCATTTTACAGTATTTTACACTGATACTTCACAATAAAGTATTCTGAACATTAATACAATATTGAAACTGCGATCTACTTGCCCCCCACAAGTCCAAGTAGTGTACTGATAAGGAAATTTCTGGCCAATACCGGTTACTTCGAAAACTGATACTGATTTGTTTGGGAGGTTGTGCTTAAATACGTTTACAGGGACACTCCACTCAAATAAATTGAATTACTTTTTTTCATATTTTTGGAATGTATGTATTTTTTTGGTAAGAAAACACCACCTCTTTAGCATACAGTCCCAGAGCACTAAATTTTATAGCTGTATGTATCTTACATACAGTGGTACCTTAATTCAGCTTAATTCATTCCAGAAGGCTGGTTGAGTTGGAATTTGGTCGAGGTCCAAGTTGAATTTCCCCATGAGAAATAATGTGAATGAATTAAATCTTTTCCAGACCCCCAAATGATTGCCTATTTAAACCAATCTACCTACCTAACTAATGATAAAAAGCATTAACAATCAATATAAAGCCAATGCACACATGAAAAAGCACACATACAACAGCAATACACATGAAATAAATTACAATTTATGAGCATTGTACTTGTATAGAGGTGAGCTGATGGCAAACTGGAAGTGGCAGGTGGAGAGGAGGAGGGATGGAGGGGTTATTGTTTGGAAGGGGAAAAGTTTTTGTTTTGTTGTTTTCCAAGTTTTTGGTTGAGTTGCAGCTAGATTTTTCTCAACCGAGCTGTTCAAGGTCTGAATTGCTAAAGTTGAACATGTCTCGCTCCATACAAGATTTTGCAGGAACAGCCGAATTCCAAGATTTGGTCAAGGTACAAGTCAAAGATAATTTTCTAGCTGTTCAGTACGCAGGTGTGGAGAGCGATATGGCTTACCATTATAAAAGGAATTCTTTGCTGTAAATATTGGCTCATTTTTAACCATCAGCCGATGGCCGAATATTGCTGTATCGGCCAGTGATTTGTTCCCTATCAGTTTTGAAGTCAAACCTAAGCCGTTGATCAACCTTTTCTCTTTCACAATTCTCTCCCTCTCATCTCTCCCTCTCTCTGTTGCTTGTTTCTTCGGGATCACAAGCCTGTCGTTTAGCTCTAGTACAGCAGTGCTATTTGTGAGACGTGTGTTGGTGATGGATCTGGGTAAATGACTGCTTGTTTCACTGACACAGATGGCCACTTGTTCATTTATTAATTTTAATAATAATTATGAGTCAGTCGTGCAAACTGGCTGCTTTCCAGGTCGTCATGCAGGTGGCTGCATATGTGTTTGTAATTCAGTATCATATGGGGGAATTCCTGTTATCTGGCTTGCTGTAAGGGCTCCTTGTGTGCGATAAGGTTACCGTGTAGCTCATTAAACTGGCTGAGGTGACGTTAGGTAACAAGCACCCTCATCTGTGTCTTCCGTGTTATAATGACTAATTCTGTGTTATTCTCTTGCAAACCCATAAAACACGGCCAATCCCTGCAATCTGATCCACTAGCCTGTTATAGCCCTTCCCATGACCCAATATCCAAGTTGGACCCCCTTTCACCTTCAGCATTGCCTTAATTCTTTGTGGCGCACATTCAGCAAGGTGCTTGAAACATTCCTCAGAGACTCTGGTCTATGCTGATCTGAGAGCATCACGCAGTTACTGCAGATTTACTGGCTGAACCTTCATGATGCGAATGTCCCGTCCACCACAGCCCACAGCTGCTCTATTGGACTGAGATCTGGTGACTCTGGAGGCCATTTGTGTACAGTGTGCTCACTGTCACCTTCAAGAAACCAGTCTGAGATGATATGAGCTGTGTGACATGGCGTGTGATCCTGCTGGAAGTAGCAATTAGCAGTTGGGTACACTGTGGTCGCAAAGGGATGGACGTGGTCAGCAGCGATAGTCAGGTAGGCTGTGGTCGTAAAGGGATGGACGTGGTCAGCAGCGATAGTCAGGTAGGCTGTGGTCATAAAGGGATGGACGTGGTCAGCAGTGATAGTCAGGTAGGCTGTGGCCATAAAGGGATGGACGTGGTCAGCAGTGATAGTCAGGTAGGCTGTGGCCATAAAGGGATGGACGTGGTCAGCAGTGATAGTCAGGTAGGCTGTGGTCATAAAGGGATGGACGTGGTCAGCAGCGATAGTCAGGTAGGCTGTGACACCAAATTGTGATCCTACCAGTTGAATGTCGCAGCAGAAATCGAGTCGCATCTGACCAGGCAACGTTTTTCCAGTCTTCCGTTCTCCAGTTTTGGTGAGTCTGCCCACTGCAGCCTCAGCTTCCTTCTGACAGGAGTATCACCCAGTGTGGTCTTCTGCTGCTGTAGCCCATCTGCTTCGAGGTTCGACGTATTGTGCGTTCAGATGCTCTTCTGCATACCTTGGTTGTATCGAGTGGTTATTTGAGTTACTGTTGCCTTTCTATCAGCTTCAACCAATCTGGCCATTCTTCTCTGTCCTTTGCCATCAACAAGGCATTTTCTCCCAGGGAACCGCCTCTCACTGGACGTTTTTTTCTTTTTCGGCACATTCTCTGTAAACCCTAGAGATGGTTGTTTCTGAAAATCCCAGTAGATCAGCAGTTCCTGAAATACTCATTCCAGCCACATGGCACCAAGAACCACGCCGCGTTCAAAGCCAATTAAATCACCTGTCATCCCCGGCCT